TATTTTCTTATTTGTATGAGTATTAAAAAATAAATAAATAAACTTTGTTACTTCAATATCCCTTAGTAACTTTTCTGTCACAGTGTCAAATATAAGAATTTCTTAAAATTCACAATTTCTTAAAAGCAAACAACCTATTGAAATTCTTATTTACCCCTGTCATAAATAAATATGGAAGTGAAGACTTTTGTCCTTAATGATTTCAACTTGTTATTTTCTACAAATGGTAGCAAAATCTTTGTAGAAAAATCACTGAGAGCCTGTGAACTTTGTGGTTTTTAAGATTTGCAATGGCTTTAATTTTTAATACATTTGAAAATGTACTTCTAGTGGACGTTTAATTTTCTAGATAATGGCAAACATGATTTTAATGTATTTTCTTTTACACCAATGCCATTTATCTCCATTTCATTTCTTCTAATAGCTTTTCATTTGAAAGCTTCAAACCATTTGGAATATTTTTTATCAGTTATATGTCTACTCAGTTTCTCATTTATTGTTAAAATTTATAAATTTATTAGTAAAATTTATAAAATTTATAAATGTTTCTCATTTATTAGTAGAATTAGTAAAATTCTCAAGTATTGACTTGAGAATGACTCTTAGGTACTCCCTGTGGACAAACACCTTCAAAATTAAAGTCATTTTTATCATTTTCTAGCAAATTCATCATTCAGCATCAATTTTGACGATGGAGACAAATAGCATTGGGGTAAAGTAAATCAGTCATATGTCTACTACATTTCTCATTTATTAGAAAAATTTATAAATGTATTGACTTTAGAATGACTTTTAGGTAGTCTGTGTGGATAACACCTTCAAAATTGATGCTGAACCATGAATAATTGCCTTGTGTATTTGATTTTCTTTAGTTAATTTTGTATCAACATTAAAGGAGTTTGATCTAATCCATACTTCTCTGGTTTCCTCATAATAATTTGTGGTCTAACAGATCAAGTGTCTTTCTAAAGACAAGATACAATGCTGTCTACTCCATTTCCTTTACCCCTAAGCTTTTTTTTTTTTTTTTAAATAGGGAAAAGAGCTAGGTTTACAGTCATTATTCTTATGTAAGTTTGCAGTGGACTTTTAGGGTAATAGAGAACCACTTAATCTTTACTTGGTTTATAATTTTAGGCATTAGTGTCATGGGCCAACACTTATTAAGTTATATTAAGAAATATTATAAATTAAAAGATAAACAGTGTCTACTGCAATGCTTAGGTTTGCTTAGCAAAATAAGGGACAATAAAATAATTTTTTTTCCTGCTATAATGGGTAATATTTGATATTCTACCATATTAATGGGTTGCATAAAGTGGAATTGACCATTTCATGTCATTTTCAACAGGCAGGGTTCAGTTGCCTGATTAATATGATCAAATATAGTCATTAAGCTGGTTTTTCCAGTTGAGATTCTACATCAGTTCAAATTAAATAGAAAAGAATGCCAGATCTTTTCTGTGATTTATGTTATGCAATACTGGTTAAAGTTTTGTCTACATAGAGACTGCAGACTAAAATTTTAAAGAAAGATGGAATAGGAACTCTTCTATTTAAATAGCCATGTTAATTTTATATCATACATTTAATTAGAAAGTTCCTCCACCTTTAACAAATGTATATTGGTAAATATAATGATGGAAACGTAAGTGCTAGGTGTGGTATGTTTTAAGGAAATAAAACTTGTACAAGAGAGGTGACCTTGTGTAAAGGGCTTTATGTGTCTCATTCCTCCTTCTATTCTCAAATGTCTAGAACAGTGATCGTATGATGAGTGCTCAGTGTGTGGAACAGTGAATCAATGACTCATGATTGTCACAATATTTAGAGAGTCTTTCCTAGTTACTTGATGGAGACAAAGAAAAAGCTCTTAATTTATTGGATGGAAACTCCATACAGTAATAGTTTACTTTGTGGCTAACTTAATCATAATGATGTTCACTAATTATAAATAATACTTATGGGAGTTGTGAAATTATTTTTCAGTTCTTTTCTGTTGTCTTAAAAAGGAATGGGATCATTCTTCTCTGTTCGGTTTTTTAAATTTATCTTTCATTTCAGAATATTACGGGGTTCAAACACTTTGGTTACATATATTGTACTACCCAAGTTAGAGCTACAAGTGTGCCCAACCCCCAGACATCATGTATTGTACTCATTAGGTGTGAATTTACCCATCTTCTCCTCCCCGTCCCACCTGCCTGATGCCCTGTGAATGTTACTTCCATATGTGCACCTAAGTGTTGACCAATTAGTACCAATTTAATGGTGAGTACATGTGGTGCTTGTTTTTCTATTCTTGTGATACTTTACTTGGAAGAATGGGCTCCAGCTCCATCCAGGATAGTACAAGGGGCATTAGTTCATCATTTTTTATGGCTGAGTAGTACTCTATGTTATACATATACCACATTTTATTAATCCATTCATGTATTGATGGACTTGGGTTGTTTCCAAATCTTTGCAATTGTGAATTGTGCTGCTATGAACATCCAAATGCAGAATGTCTTTTTTATAGAATGCCTTTTTTTCCTTTGGGTAATTACCCAGTAGTGGAATTGCTGAATCAAATGGTAGTTCTACTTTGAGCTCTTTGAGATATCTCCATATTAATTTCCATAGAGGTCATACTAGTTTGCAGCCCCACTGGCAGTGTAAAGAGTGTTCCCATCTCTCTGCATCCATGCAGACATTTGTTGTTTTGGGACTTTGTGATAAAAGCCATTCTCACTGGAATTAAAGCAATGTGTGTCTCTTCTAACTGGTATTGATTCAACCCATTACCCCCACTAAATATCTAGCTTAGGGAAATGAATTTAATGTGGGACCAAATCCTGATCATAAGGGATCATATTTTTATGTCATGCTTTCTGTTTCTTGAAGATTTTAGAAATTAAAAAAATTCTCTTGAACCATTTGTTTCTTACAATAACCTTGTATAGTAATAGAAAGCAGTAATTATACCCATTTTCTAAATGAGAAAAGTAAGGGTTGGAGGGAGGAATGGACTATTCATAATTACAAATTAGGCTATAAACAAAAATGGTCAAAAGCCCAGGGCATGTTTATCCGTGTGTTCCATTATTCTTATGAAACTGGGAGGTTTCCTACATGTCACTCTTGGTGACTTTATTACTAGAACTTGCTTTAAGTACTGGCGCTTTATCTTAATCCAATTGTTAGTTTGTTCCTATTTTTCTTTACTATTGCCAAGAATGAGGTCACCTGAAATTTGAAACTCACATAATTAATTTAAAAATCATCAGACAAAAATCAATCATCTCTTCAAACAATTTCATGTAATAAATTAAAAGACAGCCTAATTGAATTTACCAACTATATTTCATTGCATTGAAAGTCTTCTGGATATTATATTTTGGTCTGTTATTAAAATTTTTATGAATCCTTCAAGATTAACTGGGCATTAATCATCCCCAAATAGGCAGCTTCTCAGAGAAATTATTTTTAGTAATTCATTTGTTCTGAACAAATGTTATGGCATTTGGATTTTGGAAAATTATTCTATGTTATTGTGGGGGAGAAGGAAATTTCCCTTTTGCCCTCAGAAGATTCGCTGAAAGACCAACTCACAAGGCAGCAGATTAATAAGAGAAAGAAATGACAAATTTATCACCATGCTTACGGGGAGAATCACAGAGTGATTACCCAATATCCCAATAGGATCCAGAAATTTATATACCCTCATTTTAGAGGGGAGGGGAAGATAAGGAATATAGGCAATTCTGTTTAGAGACGATAAATGGTTGCTAGTGAGGGTGAAAAGACACTTGGGAGAATGAATGGATGGGAGGAAACAGACTGACTTGAAAATGATTCTCTTTGGAAATTAACTTAACTTGAGAGACAGGTATTATCTTTAAAATGGGTTGGGCTAGGCCTGGTTGCATTCTTGATCTTCTTTCCTGCAATATATTGTGATAACAGGGAGGGGAAGGAAAGGAAAATGTTCTTTTGGATAGGTCCATCTGGTTTTGTGCAGATAGAGGGAAAGTCCTTTCCAAGGCCTGTTGATCTCCAAGGGCCTTTAAGTCAAAATACTCTTTATACCAAGGAGTCATATTTTGGGGTAAAATTCACTGAGCTCCTTCATTCTCCTGTTCCTTATTTACATTTGAGAACAACATTTAGAAATTAAGACTCTTATATTTAATTTTTAATAGATTAGTAAATTGTTTTAGTCTCTTTTTAAATAGAATTGTTTATATATCTTAAATCATGAACTAAGAATTTAGGAAATTTTTTCACTTGGAAATGTAATTTAAAATGTCCTCTTTTTTCTTTTTTTTCTTTCTTTTCTTTTTTTAGTTCCAGGTGCAATTTCTGATTTACAACTTGCAGAGGTAGAAGCCACACAAATAAGAATTACTTGGAAGAAACCACGACAACCAAATGGAATTATTAACCAATATCGAGTGAAAGTGCTAGTTTCAGCGACAGGAAAAATTTTGGAAGATACTTTGCTCACAGGGAAGAATGAGGTATTGCATTTTCACTTCACTTCTTGGTGAGCTCTTTCTGCTTGGTTCTGGCTCTGATAACTTGGAAGACTTACCAGCACTCAAACATCAAATATTTGACAACTTCCTAGTACAGAGTGAAGTAAATTTGGGACATGTTGATAATCCAACTAGATCATATTTCATTTTAGGCCATATATTATTAGTGAGGTGCCATTATTCTTCTAAAATTCATTTTTGGCATATCAAAATGTTAATTGAGCAATTAAGCACGACTAAAGGTACTTCCATAAATGAATATTATTATGCTAATTTAGTTAATGAATTATTTGGAAACTACTGTTATGATTTAAATACTTCTTCAAAGGCTGTGTTTGCAATTTGGAACAGTTGCCAGTGAAAGGCACAGTAATTTTAGTTGCTGTTGTTAACAAATGTTTATGTCCAATTTGGTCTTGGCAAGCTAAATTTCAGAGCTGCCACATTTTTTTTTTTTTAAATTCATTTGATTAAAGAAATCATATAACTAAATAAAAGAGATTTAAGTTATTTTATAATAGATTTAAAATAAAAGGACTGGGATCTTTTGACAATGTGTTTGCTTCTATCCACACTGAAAGTTCTATTTTTTTCCCTTTGTTTCTGTTAGGAAGTACAGACAGCACTGATTTTCCTTCACTATCTTCATTCACCTCACTGAGGCAGCTGTTTACCTGTGTGTGAGGACCCGTTAAGCCTCCAGACTAGTCATATGCGGATATTGGCTGCCTCCTGGGGCACTCAAAGAGTAACCATACTTAGGATCACTGCAGCAATCACTGAGCCTTAGAGACATACATGACAGTTATTCGGCACCTGGCTTCTGCTGTGTTGTTTCAGAGTTATTGCTGCTTCTTTCTATCTGTGCTGTTATTTCCCCCCACACATACTGTCACTCTGTTTCTAGTCCCAGCTTTCCTCTACTTCTGGCACTTACCTGGACATGAAAATTGAGCTTACCATATGCTCAATGCACTCTGGCCACCTTGGACTTATCACTCCAAGGTGTTCACCATCTCCAGCCCAGAGTCAAATTTTTGTCTTGTGTTGACACCTTTCCTCTGTGCAAAAGATGTTGGGTTATGCCTCTCATACTCTAGTAGACCACTCAGGCAAAGGGCAAAAGCTTAATTAACCCTTTGTTCTTGCTGAGAAGGTCTTAAATTAGACAGTGAGATTTCTTATAATAGGGCTTATATACCCACCTTACACGGTTGGGAGTAAATGACATAACAGAGAAAACCTCTACCTTAGTGTGTTCGTTTATCATCCCTTTCCTTGACCTTGGTACCTCTCTCAGGACAAGGACTCTCTCCTTCCATTCACTACTAATTTTCTCAAAGGGTAGCCTCCATTCCCTGTCTCAAGAACTCTTTAAACCCTTGAAATCTTTTTAGAAATCACCAGGGTGACCTCCTCAGTGTAAAATACAATGACTAAATATTTTTGACCATCCTTGTTTTCCTTATCTCCTCCAAAATCTATAGCTCTGCCTGCCTCCCCTGCTCCAACACTATTTGTTCCTAATACTTCCTCCACTTTTATATACTGTGACTTTGCTACACGTGGCCTTGCACAATTAAAAATGAAGAAAATAAAGCTAGCTCTTGCAACTATTTTCTATCTTTTTCTTCATAAAGGTATTCCAGAGAGCTTTGTTTCCAGCCATATCATAACATTTCACTTTGAGAACCTTCCATTGTGAGGCTTAACTGGGGAAGAATCCACTTCCAGGCTCACTCAGGTTTTGGGCAGATTTTATTTCCTTTTGGCTGTAGAACTAATGGCCCTGGCTTCTTGCTGGCTTTTGAGCAGAGACTACCCTCAATTCCTAGAGGACCCCTACGGTTTCTTGCCACATAGGCTTTCCTAAAATGGCCATTTCCTTCATTAAACCAGCAAGCAGGGTCTAACTAATATAATCATGGGAGTGACACGCCAACCCCTTTGCTTTATTCTGTTGGTTAGATGCAAGTCACAGGTCCTACTCAACTCAAGAGCAAGACATTATACAAAGGCATGAACAATAGGGATAATGGGTATCCACCTGGGAGACTATCACTATACTTTCCCAGCCTACTATTTTTTATACTTCACTCACCTATTAGAATAATCCTTCCAAATGTAAGCATATGATTTGCATTATAAAAATATCCTAATAAGAATTGAAAACAGATGGGGAAGATATATATATATATATATATATATATATATATATATATATATAAGCTAGCTTCTCATTATCATAGCAGAAAGTCAATAGGTCCTAAAGTTAATGAGTATTAACAGAGCAGTATTAGCATATTATTTAGTGATTTTAGAAGTAAACACCATAAGAACCAAACACAGGAATTAACTAAAGTATTGCTTCTGGAGAGTAAGGCTTGGAGCAGGGAGAGTATGAACAGGGAATTATTTTCATTATAAATCTATCATCTTTCCCTTGTTTTTTGTAGCCATGTACATATATCATGGTGATGAAACTTTAAAAAAATCCTTCTGTGCTAGGCATGATCTGACCTCATCACCCTCATTGGATTTTTTTTTTCCCATGGACCTCTCATAATTTATTTGTTCTTTAATAAATTGGGATTATTTAAATGAATTGAAATATATATTAGATTTTACCTTCAGTATTTAAGCAAATATTTTAAAAATACATTAGCAAATTGAATCTCAGAGTTTGAGTATTTTTCTTTCAACTTCCAAACTTACACATGAATCTCATCTATAACATTCCTAATAAATGATTGCATATCCAGCCTCTGCTAAAATATTGATCAACTCTGATTATAGGGTATCTACCACCACAAAAACAGCTCCTATTCGATAAGTTTAAAATCATTCTTCTTTATGGTTCCAGAAGTATCTATTTATTAAGTAACTATGAAGTTTTAGGTATTCTGCTAGGCTCAGAAATAATAAATGAGAGCCCACTCTGTTCTTGAACTATTTTGAACTGAAATATTTGCCCTTTAATGTTTGGCAGGTGGTCCCAACTCTCCTCCCTAGACCTACACAGTAGATTATCGTGACTATGAGCCTGGAATTTGAAACCAGGAAAATGTGTTCAAATTCTACCTCTGCTATCACTAGTTTTATGAACTCAAATAGATGACTGTAAAATGGAGAGATAATAATGTCTATCTCTTTGGGGTATAATGAAGTGAGATCACATGGCTAAAAGTGTTTAGCACTCTATTTGACACATAGTAGTTTAAAAAGTTAGTCTTTGCAGTAATAACAATAATAAACAACAATTTAACCTTTTCTCACTGAAGACAATAGTTATAATTTTCCTAAAGCTTAGTATCTCAGTTTTTCATTAGTAATGGTTTCTAGGTCCTTCGCATCATGGATTACTCTCTTGTGTATATTTTCCAGTTTTTCAATGATCCTCTTACTCAACTGAACACAATTTCTGTGTGAAGCACCATCAAATTGGTATTAACTGATCACATTTATTTGCACATATAGTAGTAACATTCATTGGGTGTCAGGCAGGTCGGAGGCAGCAGGAGTGGACGGTTATATTCACATCTAATGGATGCGGTGTGCACCACCTGGGGGATGGACATGCTTGAAGCTCTCACTCAGGTGGGGCAAAGGCAATATATATAACCTAAACATTTGTACCCTCATAATACACTGAAATAAAAAAAAAAACCCTAAAGCCATCTCTCTATGGACTGCTCTTTAGTTGAATTTCACACTCAGATCTCATCTGGTACTTGTTCTATTAGGAAAACACCTTTTCTCTAACAGACAACTTGCTATCTAGTGTTACAAAATTCTGAGATTCATGCAGATACATCTTTCACCCAACATATTCCTTGAGTATATCAAAATTTCTCACTAGCGGATGTGAGAAAAAAGTCAGCTAACTACTTGTCCAGTTGATAGGAATGAGGCTGAAGACAGAAGCTGAGAGTAGTTTAGGAATGCCTTAAGTTTACTTTATTGAGCATTAGGAATATAAATGGAAGCAAGCCTTAAAGATTTGTTCACCCAAATAATGTGTTAAGTGGTAGTGTCCTTTAGGAGGCTTCTAGGCATATGCTAATTACAAACTTTTCTTTTTACTACTTCTTAATAACAGCATAAATCATATTATAGTCTATATTAAAATATAGAAGTATTTCTTAGGAATAAGTTAAACACTTTATTAATTCAATTCAGCAGACCTCCACCTAGTCTAAATTGATAGATATAATTGTTATTTAAAAAAAATAAAACCACATATGCTATAATGAATGTTATTACATGTGAAATCAAGTTGGTTTATTCAGGTGGATTAGGAATTTAACTCTGAAGACTTCTTATTTTTTCATGTAAATTCCAGGAATTCCTGGGTAGCATATGCAAGGCCTTTCTTGTTGATGAATTGTGACATTCCCTAACTCAATGATTCTCAGCCAGTGGCTATTTTGCTTTCCAGGAGACATTTGGTAATCTCTGGAGACATTTTCATTGTCACAAGTGGGAGGATGCTTCTAGTGAGTAGGACCAGGGTTGCTGCTAAACATCCTGCACTGCACAGAACAGCTCCCCACAACAGAAAATTATGTAACATAGAATGTCGATAGTGCTGAGATTGAGAACCCTGGACTAACTCAATGAGTCCAAAACTATTAGGCATTATAATGGGCTTTTCGCCCTTCTATTTCCCTCAATTACATTCCTGCTTCTCTCTGCCCCTTTCCATTATTCTCTTAAATTCTAATTCTTTCCTGTCACTTTTGCTCTTATAATTATTACTTTTTTCTCCTTTGAAAAACGTAACATCTAATCTAATGTCTTTTTAAAGAGGCAAAGTGTGAGAAATGTTCACGATATGGCACAGTTAGTGATCATTAGTAACATTCTGAGTTGTTACAAAACCAATCATTTTCAAATCATTGCCCTAGTTATGGAGGGTTTTCCCAAAACCAGAATTGGAGAGAAATTCATAGTCGAAAGTATTCAGGTCAACTCTTATGCTGAAATGACAGTTTGTCAACAGACATGCTTAATTGATGGGATGAGGTAATTGATGGGATACTGTGGTTTAACTCAATAATTTATCTGACATGGGGTAGAAAATATTGAGAGATTTAATGCAAAATTTTAGTTCAGGGGGAAATTCTTTGTACTACCTCACTATCCCTTCTACAGCACTTTGTACACTGTAGATTCTCCAAGGGTGACTGATTGATAGTGGAAACAGCTGTGTGGTTCGGGCATAAACTATTGACTGGAATACCAGAGCATCTCTGAATTATGGGTTTGTGATCCATGCCCTCCCTGATTTCCCTGTGGGGGCAGAGCTGAAGTGAGTTGTTGGAAGACAGAAGACCTTTACCTTGTTCCACATAGGGTTCCCTATCCAGAGTTCTTTGTCACAGTGTTTTTGAGGTAGATCTTATGGGTGTTCTCCTACCATTCACCACAATACTTTTCTAACTAAAGTTGTAAGAAGATTTTGATAATTTTATCTTGTAAATATTATTTTTGGAGGACTGGATATTTTTTGAATCATTTATTCTTTCATCTCTCAGAAAAGTGAATATTTAAATAATTTGCTTGGAAGATAGTTAAATTAACAGAACTACTCTGAAATTTCTTGCCTTTCTGAGTTTTTTCCTGAGCATCAACTATTTTTTTTAAAATACTAAATGCTTTGATGTTAATAAAGAATAGAAAATCTATTTTTGGCTGTAAGAGTGAATACAACCCAAAAATAGGTAATTAAAAGACAGAAACACCAAAACTTATGAACAAATGAAATCTATGTAATGAATTTATAATAAATTCTGAGGATGCATGAGCGTGAAATTGACAAGGAATAGAGTATATTTCTAAAAAAAGGGTTTTGGAGGTGAATTTTGAAGCAGAATTTGCAAAGGAATTGACTAAAAAAGGCTAGTTTTTGCAACGTGTTCTTTTTTTTTTCAAAACTATTTTATTTTGGAAAATTTCAAAGACATAAAAATAGAGAAAAGAGTATGATAAGCCTCCATATACCCACCACTTGGATCCAGTAATTATCAGTAGCCTGCCATTCTGGCCTCAGCTGGTTCCTATTGTTGCTGCTGCTACAGATGTACTTTAAAATAAATTCCACACTTCACATCATTTTGCTGCTATATGCCTAAGCATGAGTATCTAAAAAACATGGACATTTCAGTACAAACAATAATGCCATGATCACAATTAACAAAATTTCTAATATTGTTTTACTATCACCTAATACCTAGACCATATTCAAATTTCCTTGATTATCTTGAAAGTCTATGTTGATAGGTATGTCCTAATTAGAATCCAAAGTCCACACATTGCACTTGGTTATTAAATCTCTTAAGGCAATATTTCCTTTGATTGATATTTAGTCTTTTTTCAAAAATTGACATTCTACACAAATATCTAATTATTTGGTAAAAATATCTTTTTCTCATTTTGTTTCAATGAGTTATGCTGGGTGGGAATGGAGGAGAAGGGAGAGAGTCATCTTGTTATCTCAACGAAAAGCTCTACTATATGCATCTGTAATCTGTTCCTGATGTTTTCACTTCAATATCTGCCACTTTGGTGAACTTGACATGTGTGAATTACATTATGAGATCTAGGAACAATTGCAATTGCTTAAAATATTTCTTAGATCCAGAGCCTTGGATAGGTGTACCATGAACCTTCCTTGAATACTATTACTATGCAGTTTTATTCTTGTCTGTAACTTCACTCTGTTGTAGATAAACTATTATTGTTGTTATTTATATTTATTAAGCAGGCATTCAGACCTCTCACACCTCGTATACAAGTGAGGACACATAAATAGGGAAGCAAAACATGTTTTAATACATCAGTATGCCCAGAACATTTACCTTTTGGGGGTGGAGGTGAGCAGTTAAAATTTCAGTCATGAAATCTTTACATTAGGATGTCTAATCTTACCATAAACAGACTAACCAAGTCCAGAAACAAGTAAGTATCTGCTTCTTCCCAAAATATAGTATTGATCTCTTAAGAAATAGAGCGATCACAATGTGTTAAAACGACACAAGGTTTGGGTAGCTTGAAATGAAATCTTGGAATCTGAAGAAAACAGTCAGGGAAATAATATATTTTTAAAAAGCATGATTCCAAAGTTGCAAGTTTGTTTTTAAACTAATAGTTGATTTAAGTCATCAAGTATAATGGCCACAAGCAGTCTTTGTAAATATCTACTTTTAATTACAGTATATAAATGACCCCATGGCTCCAGAAATTGTGAACATAGAAGAGCCAATGGCGGGATTATATGAAGGTTCAGCAGAGATGTCTTCTGACCTGTACTCACTTGCTTCATTTATGTATAATAGTCATCCATATAATATTTTTCCTGCAAGGAATGGAGCTGAAGACCAGAATTCACCAGTTGGTAGGTAAAACTTTAATTTTCTATAAAGTGCATTTGAACAATCAGTGCTAGATAGCAAAGATATGAACCTTAGCTTAGAGTTCAACTTATTATTAATGGTCCATGAGCTGGAGTCAGATATTTTAACTGTGGATAACCTCATGCAGCAAATGGAAATGCCACACAGGCAGAAGCTGGCCCCTCCTAACCCATTTGACCTTCTTCCTAAAGAAAGTAGCACCCTAGAGTCTCTGGCCAAGCTGCATAGACAATCAGTTATTACAGTTGCCAAAGCAGGTGTGATGGGAAGGGATTAACATATCTTCAAATCATTTACAGGCCTCACACTCTCTACAGCTTTTGACTAATAGGTTTTCAAATGTCACTAAAGGTAAATAGGTCAGAAAGTTACAACTCTAGTGCATGGTGTGATAAACAGGTGTAGGTGACCCCAATGATGTGGTGATGTCATTAGTGTATACACTTGCTCTTCAGTGTCAATGGCTCTTATTGTTTCTAAAAGGAGAAAGTCATATATGGCAAATTAAAAATATTAGGCTAGATTACACAGGTCTGTATTATCTCTCTGGTTTTTCTAAAATGTTAAGTGAGAAGAATATTGTATTTCATTGCCTTTTTTCTGATTTGGTATTTGTCCCATTCTAAATTAAAAGTATTATATTATTCTATTTATGGTAGAATTAGTAAAAAATAGCACATAACATACAATGTATGTTTATTTCATTTAGTGATTTGTTTTTATTATGCAAAGAAGACTAGGGGCAACACTAAAAATTAAGAGGCCCATGATTTCTGGTGCAGATGTTTCCCTAATTTGGCCTAATTGCTAATTAACAGTTTTGCAAGCACAAGTTCTAAATAAAGTAAAAATCTAACATTTAAAATGTTCATGCATATTTATGTGCCAGTTATCCAAGGATGCTTGTTTTAAAAAATTATTGGTTTAGTGAATGCATGGTGAATTTTAAGTCCAAATAAAACTCTCACTTTTTAACTCTTCTATTAAAAGCTAATATTGATTCATAATATTTCAATTTTATATTATTATCTTATCTTTCTTCTCAGAAAAATTCCTAGCCAGTCTCTTTTAGTTATATTTTCTCAAAACACTAATCTCATGTTCCAGAATGCTGAATAGTATATAAAAACTAGCAGAACTATATTATAAACACATAATGTTTATAGATATTATTGGGGGTATTAAGAACTCATAATAATATTCGATATGATCTTTAAAATTAATGTCTTATATTCACTGTTAATTATATACCTACCGTTAATATAGAGGAGTACATGGAGAGATTAATGAATAATATGAAATAAAGTTTAAGATTTCACAGTGTAAGCAAAAATAATTCGATTATGAATCCAAACATTTTTTTTTTTTACTTATTTCAAATAGTAACTACAAGGAATCAGTATATCACTGACATTGATGCTGAACAGCTGTCTTACGTTATCAGGCGACTTATACCTTTCACTGAGCACATGATTAGTGTATCTGCTTTCACCATCATGGGAGAAGGACCACCAACGGTTCTCAATGTTAGAACACATGAGCAAGGTAAGGATGTATTTCCTTTGAAACAATCACCTGCAAACATTGCTCTTGCATTCTTTTCATTCATATTAATTGTTTACTCTTATTTTCAAGTTCCAAGCTCCATTCAAATTATAAATTATAAAAATATTAGTTCTTCATCTATTTTGTTATACTGGGATCCTCCAGAATATCCCAATGGAAAAATAACTCATTATACAATTTATGCAATGGAATTGGATACAAACAGAGCATTCCAGATGACTACTATAGATAACAGCTTTCTTATAACAGGTAGAACAAAACTTTCATTTTTTTACATTCCTATTCTGATGGCAAATATGCATCTCTCTAGGTCTTAAACACTGCAGGACAAATACTGTGTCATTCCAGACTTTATTGTTTTATGTTTCCAAGAATATCTTTTGAAATACTTTTCAATATCTGCCACTTTGGTGAACTTGACATGTGT